GCGCACGTACAGTGCAATTGAAACTTCGTGGCCCATGTGCAGAAGTCGGTATTTTGTGAAAGAGCCACACTCAAGGGGCCAAAGAGCCGCATGTGGCTCGCGAGCCGCAGTTTGCCGACCACTGCCTTAGATTCTTTGGGTGATCTATGTCCACAAGGTCAAAAACCACTGAAGTGTTTGGATGCTAAAGATTAGGCTTAGTAATACTTTTGAAAAACAAAGAGGCTGCTTGCTATGTATGTACACTAGGGGGTGATGTAGGGCCAGCTGTGTGTGCTATGTCTCTAGTTCACACACATTGGCTAAGAGGGCAGTGCTTGGTTTCATTAATTCCCTGTTGGAAGCAGCTGTGTCTGCTTGTTAGGCTGGATTCCAAAGCACTCAAACGTCTTGAATTGGATCCTTATCGATTGAGATGGGCAACGCTAAGCCATGCACATCTGAAACACAAGTCTTGCAAACGTCTAGAAGCACTGGCCATCGGTACCATGTTATACACGCAGCACTGGTAGCCGGGAGGGCACTTAAGACCACCATACGTCCCAAACCAAACTCGTGCTCTCTTCCTCCCCACCCTGCCTTCCAAAGTCATTCTTCCAAAGGCTTCCCCAGTTCAGGTCTTGGCATCACTGCTGTCCTAGAACTGTTGCGGTCATGGAAGTGGTTATTGCTGTGCTGTGCAGTATCACTAGCCATACGTGGGTACTGAGCACCTGAAATGTGCACAGTACAACTGAGGGGCTAAAATTTTAATTTTATTTAATTTAAATTAAAATTGGACAGCACAGTTCTAGATGCTCAGGCTGAAGCCTTGAAAGATTTCTTAGACCCCTCTCTTTCCCTCCCTCCCCACCTCCACTATGTCATCAAATTCTGTGGGCTTTAACTTCAGAACATAACCACCTTCACTGCTACCACCTTGCCCAAGGCACCATCCCTTCTCCCCTGAGTTATTGTAAGAGCTCCTTGCTAGCTCCCTGCTTCCACCTTTGCTCCTACTTCTGTTCTCAACACAGCAGCAAGAATGACCCAGTGACAAATGAAAGATCATCCATTCCTCTGGCTTCCCAGCTCCCAGTAACAGCCCCATGCAAGAAGGCCTGTGCAGCCCCGGGTGACCGTCCCCTGCCCACACATTGCCTCTCTCCCCTCATGCTCCTGCAACCACTGCTAGGTCCTGGCCATTCCTCCCATCCAGGGCATTTGCACTTGCTCTTCCTTCCAATACCCACATAGTCATTCCTCAACCTCCTATGTGTACCAAAAAGCCTCCTCAGCGAGCCCTTGCCTGACCACTCCATTTAAAACTGCCACCCCACCTCCACCCCGTACTCCCTCCCACCTTCCCTGCCATAATATTTACTTATTTGTTGTCTTCTCCCCCTAAAAGCAGCAGGAAGGCAGGGCTCTTTGTCTGTGTTGTTCGCTGCTGTATCTGCAGCACCTGGAGTGCTTGGCACAGAGTAGACGCTCCATAAACATTTACTGAATTAAGTAATTTGATTAAGAGGTGAGTCGGGGAAGAGGTTGCCTCTAACTGACACAGGCTTATGAAAACAGCATTGCCCAGGATGTCGGAGACCTGGGTTCAAGTCTACCTGTGACTCCACGCAGGCTCCCAACTACTGATTCTGTTCTCTAATCAGTAAAATGGGAAAGCAGATCTCTGTGTTGCCTCCCTTATGGGATGGCTGGGGAAGCAATGAGATAATAAATGCAAAGCCCTTTGTGGGCCATGAGGGGAAGGAGAGGGAATGGTCGGTTCAGGTAAGTCAGGAGGAAGTTTACTACAGAAACTGTGATGACTGGATCCGACTCACGGAGAGGTGGTGGTCAGCTGTAACTCAGCAACACAAAACAGCTTATTCTTGCAGGCCTTCTCGTAGGGCAGCTGTAACGAGAAGGGGGCAGGATTAGCCCAGGGACCCCGCCATCCCCGCAGCCTTCCCTCGTGATCTCCTTAGGACATGCGGGACAGGCTGGGCTGTGTCCACATGGCTGTGACTGTGACATTCCTTGATCTGGCAGCGGTAGGAGGAACAGTTGGGTAACAGATGGCAAGTGACAGCCTGTCAGGTAGGGGGTGTGCTTGGTCCTACAACACAGGTACACCATGAGTCAGGCCTCTGGCCAAGGTGAAAAATGGGGTGACCTTCATGGAATGGTGGGAGGGCCTGTCACATTTCTATCAGCAGAATGAAGCACCAACACTCACAACTCACTGTGTACTTTGAAATTTGGGGGAGGAAAACCTATATGAAGAAGAGTTTTCTTAGTCCTTTCAAGTAGAGGTAGGAACAGCAGGGGCACAAATGGAAGACACCTAATCAAATATTGTCAAAATCCAGTCCTGCACACCCTCTGATTCCGTGGGTAGTCCTGGGGGTTAAATATTCCCCTTGCAATCACTCCTACACTAAACCAAACCAATTCAGAGAGTCACAGAGGGTCCACAGGCCCAGGCAAAGTTGAAAAGCCCTATTCAGGTTGAAAAATCAAAGTTTCTAAAGAATCTGGGTGTTTTTGTTCGTTTGTTTGTTTTATTGATTTCTGAGAGGAAGGGAGAGAGAGAAACATCAATGATGAGAGAGAATCATTGATTGGCTGCCTCCTGTAGGCCCCCCACTGGGGATCGAGCCTGCAACCTGGGCATGTGCCCTTGATTGGAATCGAACCCGGGACCCTTCAATCCAACGCTTTATCCATTGAGCCAAAACAGCTAGGGGTGGGTTCATTTTTTATTATGAAGGAAACAGCCAGCTCCTTAACTGGGAAATCTCTGCATTTCTCTCCCCAGCAGCCAGTGACCGCATCAGCAGCTTACGCAAGGACTCTGCCCAGGGCCTGAAGCGGGAAAGGAGCCAGAGTTAGAAAGGAAACCTCCTACTTCCTGGAGACTGGAGATGCAATTTGCAGAAGTCAGAGCTTGACACTCCGACTGGGTCAATAGTTTGGGGCAAAGTTTTTTGGATTTTCTTTAGTTTTGTTTTTAATATAGACAAGTAGCCTGCTCTCTTTCACCCAAACCCAGTGAGCATGAGCAAGCTTAAACTACCTTAAGCTCCCAGCTGGAACTCATTCTCTGGAAACATCTGTGTGCTTAAACTAATACCAAATCACGCCTCCTCGTCCATTTTATCAGTGGAATAAAAAATGTCTTTGCCAGACCATCAAAGTAATCATTGATTCAGGTAAGAATCATGAATGGATGTTAAACAGGATACATTCATAATCTCCAAGCATCGCCTATAAGATACTTATTCATGACCAGGGAAATAGCACCAGTCGTGGGACAAAGCAGTGTGCCCCTGACATGACACCTAGAAGGACCAACTTCACTTCTATGATATTCTTGCCCAAAACGCACAATCTAATCGTGAGGAAACATCAGACAACTTCAAGTTGAGAAACATTCTACAAAATAACTGGCCTGTATCCTTCGGAAATGTTGAAGTCATTAAAGACTGAGAAACTGCTCCAAATTAAAGGAGACCAAAGATAAGTGATGACAAAATGCAATAAATGATGCTGGACCGGCAGAAAAAGTTTTTTCTTTTGCAATAAAGGACATTAATAGGACAACTGATGAGATTTAAATAAATTAGGTAATAGTATTTTATTATTATTTCCTGATTTTGATCATTGCACTGAGGTTTTGTAAGAGAATGTCCTTGATTTTAGGAAATAGATACTGAATACTGGAGGGTAAGGCATCAAATGTATAACTTACTCTCAAATGGTTCAGAAATATAAATGTGTATAAGTGTGTAATTTGTATATATGTATATGTACTGTCTATATATATCGAGAAAGAATGATAAAGCAATGTGAATAACAAAACGTGCAGATGTTAACATTTTGAAAATCTGGATAAAGAATGTATGGGGAGCCTGGCCAGCATGGCTCAGTGGTTGAGCATCAACTTATGAACCAGGAGGTCATGGTTCGATTCCTGGTCAGGGCACATGCACGGGTTGCAGGCTGGATCCTCAGTGTGGGGCGTGCAAGAGGCAGCTGATCAATGATTCTCTCTCACCATTGATGTTTCTATCTCTCTCCCTACCCCTCCCTCTCTAAAATCCATAAAAAATATATTTTTTTAAAAAAGAATGCATGGGGATTATTTTGGAGTGTGCTTATAACTTTATAGTAAACCAACTTAATTCAAAATAGTTTTTTAAAAATATATCTATAATTAGTGATCATCTGCTTATTGACAAAACTTTATTACATTAATTTTCCCAATCTTTTTTTCATCTAACTTGCTGTCAATACCAATTTTTAAAAAAATTCTTTAGCCTGGTCGGTGTGGCTCAGTGGTTGAGCATCGACCCATGCAGGAGGAGGTCACGGTCAATTCCGCGTCAGGGACACTGGGGCCTGCAGGAGGCAGCCGATCAGTGATTCTCTCCCATCATTGATGTTTCTAGATCTCTCTCCCCCTCTCACTTCCTCTCTGAAATCAATAAAAACACATTAAAAATGTTTAATTCTTTACAAAATAAATATACTATTATAAATTTAAAATAAAGTCTCTTGCCTAAAAAATTAAGATGTCAGTCTTTGTTCATAGACAAACCTGATTCCCTCTATTCCTGGGCAGATGAGCAGTGAAAACAGTCACCCTGATTGTGTTACTCTTTTATTTCTATTTACTATTTTGTTTCGTTTTGAGAGAGAGAGACATCAATTTGTTGTTCTACTTATTTACGTATTCATTGGTTGATTCTTGTATATGCCCTGACCAGGGATCGAACCCGCAACCTTGGAGTATCATAATGACTCTCTAACCAACTAAACTACCCAGGCAGGGCTCTATTTACTGTTTGTGATTAATACATTCGATATTGACCAAAACTGGAGCTAAAATCTTGTATAATTAACAGAGCATTTGGGTAAAAAATATTGGACAGTCGGGACTGTCCTATGATTACCTAGAACTAAGTTACCTGAGCTTTTCTGTGCCTGCATGAACAGAAAAGCTGTTGGCTTTTTAGTTCAAATTTTGGAGACTCAACTCATCCCAACTGACTGTAATTATTACTCTTTAAGGCTCACGTTGTCACTTCTTTGATCCTGCTGACTTTTCTATACCCCATAACACTCTCTAAATGTAGACAGATAGAATATTCCAGAGCCTGGGTACAAGCAAAATCACCTTAGATATCATAGAGTCAGGAAATATGACTGTTTGCTTTCCCTCTCTGGTTTCCCTTGGTAATGAGAAAAGTTTCTTGTGACACTACCTTCCCGTTAGGGGCAAGTTAGGTGGGGCCAGACATTCAGCCCAAAGGCCCTGAGCGGGACCTGGGTAGACAGCTGTGCCAAAGGGCATCCTCTCTGCCAGCAGGGCAGGGTGGCTCCAGTCCAGTCCCCACATGGGACCCCACCGCACGGTCATCAGACACCCTTGCCAAGTCAGGCAGTGTGTTCAAATGCTTCATTAAATATGCAGCAAGCACTCTGAACACAAAGGAACTAGTTTGGAGACGTGGTTACCCACCAGTGAGGCCCCTTGGTGCAGTAAGGGGCCCAAATGCTGTCTGAAGACCCTCCCAATTCTAACATTCTTTGAAGTTAGGGGAGCAGGTGCTTTGGAGGATGGTGCCCCGGAGGGTCTGGTCCCAGCTGTGGGTACAGTCACCTGGAAGATGGCGGAGGGCTCACTGTAGATGTCCAGGACAGGGTGGGGATGGCTCATCTGGTCCTTGGAGTTCTGGAGGTGGTAGCTGACCTTGACAGTAATGTTGGAGAAGCAGTCCTCTTCACAGAGCTGCAGTCACCAGGAAGGCGGAGTTGCAGTCGGATGTGGGGCAGAAGATGACAAGGAGAATGCCTTTAACTTCGGTGTAGTCATGAAATAAAGCATGACAGTGGAGAGCCAGAAGTCCTAAGCCTCCTCCCAACAAGCCAGGCTGAAGGGAAGCTGTCATTGAACCAAGCTGCCAAGAGCATTAGAAAAACCCCTGGATCTGCTCTCAAATCTCATAACTCCTTATGGTTTCCACCCCAATCCTAAGGAGTTAAAAACTGACAACTTTGCCCAGCCTGTGTGGCTCAGTGGTTGAGCATCGACCTACGAACCAAGAGGTGGCAGTTCAATTTCCGGTCAGGGCACATGCTCAGGGCTTGATCCCTGGTGGGAGGTATGCAGGAGGCAACCGATCACTGGTTCTCTCTCATCATACATGTTTTTATCTCCCCCTCTCCCTTCTCTGAAATCAATAAAAAATATATGTTAAGAAAACAATATATTCTTTAAAAACCTGATGATTTTATTCAGAGAGCAAATGGGAGGCACTGAGGGACGACTCATGGTCACATCTGTGTTTACAGAACAGCATGAAGGACATATGAGAGGTGAAAAACAAAATGCCACCCTGGGATGGCATTTGCCCTCTCTGAGTGAGCCATGGTAGAAGCTTCGAGCCAGCAGAGTAGGTGAGCATGACTCCTGGTGGAAGGAGTAGTTATGCTTCTATTTAAAGAAGCCACGGACTCACTGGAAACTCTTTCTTAATCCTATTAACAACTGGAACAGATGTGGGGACAGATGTGTGGTTAGAAGCATAACGTATGAGGTTGTTGGAATAAATGATCCTTATAGGTCCAAAGTTCTAGGGCCAGTCAGGCCCTGAGTCCTGACAAATACATTTTCTTTTCTTTTTTTTTTTTCTGTTTGAAAGAAATTTTTTTTATTGTTTTATTGCTTAAAGTATTACAAAAAGTATTACGACAAATACATTTTCTGTGAGTGTTTGTAGACACCTTTGTCAGGTGGAAACCTTCGTAAATAATAACTTTTCTCCTTCTATTTCTACTTTCTCTCATTCAGTTTTTCTGATAATGATTTGAAGAAGGACCCTCAGCTCCACTCTTAGGTCAGTTGACAGGGGAAAGGAATAAACAGCAATTAGAATATTTCTCTTTCTGTTCAGATGCTAGGAAGCTCAAAGATATAGTTAATGTTCAATTTCAGCACATTTCTTTCATTTGGATTTCTAACAATTAACTTCATCACCCATGCTATTATATGGTTCCTGATCTATCATTTTTTAAAAATATATATATTTTAAAATATTTTTAAATTGATTTCAGAGAGGAAGGGAGAGGAAGAGAGGGATAGAAACATCAATGATAAGAGAGAATCTTTGATCGGCTGCCTCCTGCACACCCTCTACTGGGGATCAAGCCTGCAACCTGGGCAGGTGCCCTGACCGGGAATCTAACCATGACCTCCTGATTCATAGGTCAATGCTCAACCACGGAGCCACACTGGCTGGGCTATTATGTTAATTGTCTAGTTTGTATGGACGGATACATACCCTTCATTGCACACCCCTCAGTTCTTGTATCAAAGCACAGACCCCTCTGGACTTTCCTAAACTCCTCACTCACCTCTCCCTCTGTGGGGCTGAGCAGGCGGGACTCACAGAAACGGGGCCCACTGCCCCACTCCCGAAGGCAGCTCTGACAAGTTCTCTGGTCCGCACACTGCAGCCTCTTCCTCTCCTTCAACACATCCACGTCCAACGTGAAATTCAGGGACGTCCCTCTGAGGCCTGGGAGTGAAGACCAGACCTTCCCGATGAGGCTGGGATGGGCCAGCCCCAGACACAGCACCCCCAGCCCGCCTGAGGCTCCCCGGGAGCCACTCCAGGGTGTGGCCCCACCTAGGTGCTTCCCTGGGGCTGGACTTCTGAGTTTCTTCACTTTGAAAGTACTTTTCTCATGGTCTTCTGGCACCTGGCTAGCGTCCCTCAGTGTCCCAACCCCCAACCCAGAGCAGCACATTCCCAGGGCTGAGGCTTTCTTCCCTAGGAGAGGGAGGACTCAGGAAGGAGGCTGGGATTCGGGGAGAAATGGAGGAGGAGAGGAAACAACATGAAATGGAGAGAGAAACCAGAGAGTAACACCTGAGGACAGCAGAGCTGGAAGCACCTTACAGATTACCTGGGCCAACTCCTTTACTGTACAGAACAGAAACCAGGACCAGAGAGGGAAAGACACCTGCTTCTTGTCACACAGCTGCTCAGCAGCAGCCGTGCGGGCTCCACGGCCTGAATCGTTCCGCCTGTACAGCTGGACCTGATAGGCCCGTCATTTCCTCTCCGCATTTGATAATGGCCTCCTTCTGCAGGAAAGCCACCCACCCCGAGAGGGCTTTCTTATTTGCAGGAACCAGAGACATTCAGGGACTGCTGCTGAGACTCGACACCTTGGGGACTCTTGCTGATGGGTGGCTCTGGAGGGGAGCTCTTGGGCTGCCAGGAAGTGCCTGGGCTGCGAAAGCCGGGCCCACCCTCTGCCTCCTGGAAACAATCTCCCAACCAGTGCCAGGAAGGGATGGGAAGAGAGGCCAGGCCTCCACCTCCGGCAGGTCATCCCATCCCACCTGGGCCAGGGAGACATAGCGAGGAGGGCCAGGAGGGCCGGGGTTGCGGGGGAAGATGTAAATCAGAGAGGAAGAGGAAGGGCACGTCTCAGGGTCCCCTGCACACCCGTGGGCACCGTGGATGGGGATGGAGAAACGGCTGCCCTTTCCTGAATCTTTTTTCAGAAACTCAACCCTTCACACCTGAGGAAGGGATCCAAGGTCCTTCTTCCCAACAGGGTCAGAGACACCCCTGCAGAGTGCGGACTCCCCAGCAGGTCGCCCTTTTCTAGGGCACTTCACCCTGAACGGAACCTAATGTCAAAGGAGCTAAGCTCCAAATAGAGGGATTTCAAACCCCAGAACCTCATCACTCACATAGCCCCACCCACCCCATCCTCTTTCCCTGCCCCGAAGCCAACAAGAAATGACCCCAACACTGCCTGGGCCAGCTAGGCTGCCTGTTACCTGACATGGCAGCTGTGGTCCCAGAGCTGATTTCAAAACACAAATTCACGTCCACGCTGCTGTTGAAGCCAATGGGCAGCGCCTCGGGGGTGAAGGTGAGGGACACCACCAGGCGCACCACAGGTCTTGAGCTAAACAAGACAGCAGAGAGGACCATGAGAAGTGACCGCAGTCTTCTGTATCAGTGCTTGGCTCATTCATTCCTTCAATGGATATTATCAAGTCTCATGGGCCACTGCTGTTCTGAGTCTTCAGCGAAAGAGACAAATCCCTGCTCTAGTGGGAAAATAGACAACAAGCAAATAAACAAGAAGAAATAGTAAAATACTATGTTCGGGTAAGACTATGATAAAAATAAAGTAGGATAAGGTCATGGAGACTGGAGGCTCCTTAGGTTGGGTAGTCAGGGCAGCCTCGCTAATGAGGAGACATCTAAGTTGAGATCTGAGAGAGCCAGCTATGTAAAGATCCAGGCAGAAGGCACAGCTAGTGCAAAGGGCCTGCGGTAGGAAGGAGCCTGGTTTGAGGAACACAGGGGTCAGCATGACAGGAGCAGTTAGTGAGACAGAGGGTAGCAAGAGACGGGGAGGGAGGAGGGGCAGGGCAGGTCATGGAGAACTTCGCAGGCCGTGGTAGGGAATTTGGGTTTCACTCTAAGTGGGAGCCATTGAGGGGTTTTAAGCAGCAGAATGAAGGGATCGCTGGCTGCTGCGTGGAGAATGGAGCACAGGGAGAGGGCAGGGAAGAACGCCATGGCGGTGATCCAGGCGAGAGGTGACAGTGTATTGTAGGGGGAGGTGTTTGGGAGGCAGAGCCAACAAAAATGTGTTGACGGGGCGGCAGGGGAAGGAAAAGGAGAGAATCAAGGATGACTCCTGGGTTTTAGGGAAGAACGCCATGGCGGTGATCCAGGCGAGAGGTGGCAGTGTGTTGTAGGGGGAGCTATTTGGGAGGCAGAGCCAACAAAAACGTGTTGACGGGCGGCAGGGGAAGGATAAGGAGAATCAAGGATGACTCCTGGGTTTCTGTCCTGAACAAATGGTGTCATTTGCTGCGATGGGCAGCCCAGGGAGGGGCTGGTTGGGGGAGACTAAGAAGACGAGGGCCATTGTAGACATGTTGACTCTGAGATGCCTGGGAGCTACAACACGAGGGGTGCTGAGTTGAGAGCCAAGTCTGGGGCTCAGTGGAGAGCACAGGGCAGATGGGCGCCCCGTCCGTTTTACTTGGTCATTCGCTTAGGGACGGGCACAGGAGCGCTGACATCCACGATAGCAATAACGGCAGCCACCATGGGGCACTGTGCTAAATACTTGGCATAGATTCTCTCAATGGAGCCTCATAACTCCGTGAGGTAGGCGCTGCTATTATTCCCATTTATAGATGAGAACGTGGGGACTTAGAATTCACCAACCTGCCCAAGCACACAGCGGGAAGTGAGAGCGGAGGTTCAAACCCAGAGCCCAGCCCCTAACCACCTACTCTCTCCCGTCAGTGCCTGGCATCTTCATGGGGTCCCGTAGGGCAGGGCAAGTGGGTGAGGCAGGGGCCTGGGACCCCAGAAGGCAGGGCAGACCCCTACCGGAGCACAGCCGCCCGACCAAGGGTGCCCACGGTGATGTCAGCAAGGCCATCGCCGGTCACATCCAGGCCACCGTCCACGGACATGCCGAAGTAGTGGAGTCGGGGGGCGACCGCTGCGGCCCTGATGTGCTGTGGAGGGAGAGGCGCAAGGCAGGGGGCGGGAAAAGAGTCCTTTGGATGTGACTCAATCAGCAAATCAGCATCGGTCCCCACCTCTCAAGGGGACCCCTCGATTATGTAGTAGCTGGAAAGAGCAGGGCAGGGTCTCTCAGGGAAGAGGCGCTTGGATGGAGCCGGGAAGGGCGTGTGGGACTGGACAGGGGAGATGCAGGAAGAGGGGTGGCCGAGCAGGGTGGTCTAAGGAAACAGCTGGGAGCCAGTGCTGGGAACAGGAGGGGAGTTGGGTGCAAGGAGGCTTGATGTGGGGCTGGGGTGTCTAATCACACACAGGGCAGGAGACGGGGAGGAGGCAGGAGGGCAGGCTTGGGAGAGAGCTGGAATGTTGGGATGCACACGGGGCTGACAGGCTGTGCCCAGTGTGGGCACCTGGGATTATCCGGGTGTCTGGGGTGGGGGGTGGGGGCAGACGGGGCCCAGAAGAGCCGCAGGTCTCGGGGGAAGAGGCTGCTTTCTGTTGGGCAGCAGGAGAGTGAGCTGCTTCGGAGCCACCCAGGCGAGGTGCCCAGGAGGCAGCTGGACATACGGGACTGAGGCTGAGGAGAGAAGCCAGTTGGAGGGGGTGAAAGTGCCATAAAAGATATAGCATGAGCCTAGCCGGTTTGGCTCAGTGGATAGAGCATTGGCCTTAGGACTGAAGGGTCCCAGGTTCGGTTCCGGTCAAGGGCACATGCCCAGGTTGTGGGCTCAATCCCCAGTCGGGGACTTGCAGGAGGCGGCCAATCCATGATTCTCTCTCATCATGGATGTTTCTATCTCTCTCCCTCTTCCTTCCTCTCTGAAATCAATAAAAAAATTTTTTTTTAAAAAAGAAGGATATGTCTATCATTTTACTTAAAAAAGATATAGCATGAGAGGTTGGCAACAGAGCCCTGGGGGTGAGAGCTCAGGCAGGGAGGGTTGGGCGGGGTTAGGAGCCAGAGAAAGGCCAGCAGGAGAGGGGGGAGGAGCTGAGGCAGGGCCACAGCCAAGAATGCCAAGGAAGGGGGTACAGGTCAGGGTAGACAGATGTTGCCACAAGCTCTTGCCCCACCTGATGGGCCGGGAACCTCCCGCCAGCCTGAGTGACTTCTGCCCTGCACTGGGGACCCCCAACCCCGTGGGACTGCCTGGCACTTAGACCTGGAGCTGACTTGGGGCTCAGGCCATTACATCTGGGGGGGGAGGGGTAACTGTCCCAGAGGAGAGGTAGGAGAGAGCCCTGCGGGTTACCTGCGAGGGGCTGGTAGAGAGGCCGTCCCGGCATCCGTTGTAAATGTACACACTGCCGAAGCTGGCGCCATCACCTGCCCCCAAACCCTCCAGCGGGGCGCCGATGGCCACGTCCGTGAGCTTATCCTGACTGATGTCCCCCACTGTTGCCATGGCAAAGCCAAATCGGGCATCAGGGAACCCAGGCTGCCCACTCAGCGTGTGTGCCAAGGAGAAGGAACTGCCCTGTAAAGCAAGCAGGCAGCTCAGCCCTCCAGACAGGCAGGCAGGGGGCCCAGCCCATCGCTACCCGGGAGGCCTGCTCCCTGGGCTTGTCAACGCAGAGTCCCTGGCAGGGAGTCTGAGGCTCAGAAAAGGCGGGGGCCTTCCCAAGCTGGCTCAGTGGGCGAGTGGTAGAGCCGGGTCCTGTGCCCTCTGCTCCCGCAGTTGGCAGCACTGGCCTGGCCGTTGGGAGGCCTGGGTTCTGGTCTTGGCTCTTCCCCACACTTGTATGTGAACTTGGACAAGTTTTAGCATCACTGAGCCTCCGCTTCCTCGCCTGTAAGGTGTGAGTGACAGCTACCTCCCAGGTGCTAGAGAAACAGGTGAGGTAATAGGCAAAGCCTGCTTTATGCTTTATCAGCTGCTGCCACTCGGGGTGTTGTCACCACCAACAGGAGATGATGAGGTGGGGAAAATGAGGAAGTGGGGTACAGGGTGGGGGAGTGAGCCGCTGTCCACCCTGAGCACCTCCCCATCACTGCCTTCCCACGCAAGACGGGGCCAGGGCCATTCCACCTCCCCCACCCCTGCGCCAGGCCGGTGGCCGCAGCCTGCACCAGCGTGCAAAGACGGAGGCTCTCCCACCTGCTCACTCAGGCGGTACACGTAGACTCTGCCTTCCTGTCCGCGAACGTGGTAAAACGGAGCCGCCACCAGCAAGAGGTCCGTGGTTCCATCCATGTCGATGTCCACAGGACACAGCTCAGAGCCAAAATAGGACCCCATCTACAGCCCAGGGAGAGCTCGCTGACCGGGCGGCGGGAGGCCCTCCCCCGCCCCTCAGCAAGGCCACCAGCTCTGGGTCATTCCAGATGGATCTGCTCTCCAGAGGAACACAGGAGCCTGGGAGAGCAGCCCGAGCCCCACGCGGGGCACCGCTGGCAGTCGCACACGCAGGGCCAGGGCAGAGGCGCTGAGGTCTGCCCAGGCTGGGCCCCTCACCCACGGTGTGCCCTGGAGCCCATCCCTTTCCCTCGGGCCTCCGATCCCCATCTGTAATGGAGGGTCCGTGGTCCCTCCCCGGCAGGCACCTGCTCTCCCTCCAGCACCGGCACGACGTTGGTCTCTCTGCCCTCCTCCCGGAGCTCAAACACGGCCCCTCGATGCTTGTGCCGGGGAGCCCCGGCCACGTAGGAAGGACCACTGGCCTTGTGCAGCTCGGCCAGCGAGTAACCTGGGGCAGGGGTGGTGTGGCTGTGATCAGGAGCTCCCACGGGCCACGCCTTTGCCCCCCCCCCCCCGCCCTCCTCCCCTCCCACCTTCCCAGCCAGGCCTTCGAAGTGGCCCGCGCAGGAGGACAAAATAGGAGACTGTCGGTCTCATCGTCTTCAAATTGGCATCAGGGAGCTCTCCCACTTACCCACTGTTGCTGGTCACACTCTCCTGCCCCCCACACAGATGTGACATACACACATCATCATGTATACAGCTCTGCTCTAAATACACGCATCCGCACACCCAGTACGTAAGGACTGAGGTGAGGGGTGGAGGGAGGCCCCGCCTTCCCTAGGCAGCCATCTAGGGCCACCCCCTGAATCCGGTACTGAGCAGGCCCTGTCCCCTCCCAGGAGCCCTAATTTTCAGCTTCCAGATCCCTAACCAGGGTCCATCCCTCTGTCCATGGAAGCCTAGTGCAGCATAATGTGAAACCTCAGTGTCCCTGCCCTCACCCAGGTGGTCTCCGGGCCCCGCCCTCACCCAGGTGGTCTCCGGGCCCCGCCCTCACCCAGGTAGCTGTGCTTTCCAGCCTTGCTGTCCACCACCGTCTGGTTCAGGAACTGGCCCCGGCAGCTGTGCCTGTCATAGAGCAACACGCCCCCGGACCAATCAAAGGCCCCAACAGCACCGAGCAGCAGCTTCCCCTGCAGGCGACAAGGAGGCCATTTGAGCTGGAGGTGCCCGGGGTCAGCCGCTGTGACCTCGGGTCTACTGCCAGCACAGCGAACCTTGTGCTGTGGTGGGGACAGGGGTGTTCCGTGGCCCCAGGCCCACCTGGCCAGCCATGCAGGAGGAATGTGAGATGGCTGGTTCCTGCCTTGTACCCATGACCCTTCCCTCTAATACCAACCCCAGAGCAGAAGCCATCCTGGCCCAGGCGTGAAGGAAGCACTCAAAGGAGACAGAGAAGAGAGTGCTGGTCTCCTCCTTCCCAGGTCGCCCAGCCTGGGCTGAGTGACAGTCCTAACCGCGCTTCTACCATGCCCTGCCCTCCGTGCCTGCATCTCGGCCCACCTGTGGGAACAGTGCCTCTGGTGGGGAGAAGTAGGCAACTTGGCGAGCTGGCCCAGGCCAAAGCCTGCTCCTAGTGCAGTGATGGCGAACCTATGACACGCGTGTCTGAGGTGACACGCAAACTCATTTTTTTGGTTGATTTTTCTTTGTTAAATGGCATTTAAATATATAAAATAAATATCAAAAATATAAGTCTTTGTTTTACTATGGTTGCAAATATCAAAAAATTTCTATATGTGACACGGCACCAGAGTTAAGTTAGGGTTTTTCAAAATGCTGACACGCCGAGCTCAAAAGGTTCGCCATCACTGGCCTAGTGTGTATTTTAAGAACAGCTCAATCCTTGAGCACACAGAACAAGACGACCCCCGGGATGAACATGGCCATTCTTTTGTCTACCTCAGGGTCCCAGATAAGCGGAAGTTTTCCGTTATCCTAACGTGGCTCCTTCAGAGGCATGACCAGGAGGCAGAGCTGCTCTGTGGCCCGGGGCCCCTAGTCCCTGGGTGTTGCTGGGCCCTCCTCCATGCTGAGTTGGCCACATACCTCTTTCAGGATCTGGGCGCTGAACCCGACCTGTGCCAGCTGGAAGTGGAGGGCTTCTCCGACCGTGCCTGGAAGCCAAGACACCCAGTGAGACACTGCTCTGGGCAAGGTGGAGGGAGCAACCAAGCCAGGGAAGGGTCCAGCCTGGCCTGGCTCCCAGACGGAACTGGGTTTGGTGTGATGGGAACAGAACCAAGTTGAGAGTGGAGATGTGGGTCCTGCTTTAGCAGCTACCGGACGAGAGCCTGGGCAGTTCCCCCCCTCCTTCGGGGCCTGGGTCTCCACGCCCCAGTCATCCTTCTTTCTCCAGCACCAGGCCAGCTCATCAGAGCTGCGTGGAGACTCAGGGAAGTGCAGAGGCCTGGGGATACGGTTGCCTTTTTAGAGATGGAACAGCCGAGGCTCAAAGAGGTGAAGGGAGTTGTCCTGAGTGTCACAAGGAGGGAGCCCCGGGGTGGGGCTGGAGGGCAGGGCTCAGACCTCCTGCTGAATGCCGAGGGGCAGCCACAGGTGGCGAGGCCCCTGGAGCCCTCACCTTCCATGGGAACGATACTTTGCTGCAGTTGGCTCAGCAGCCCATCCAGCGCCGCGTAGTTGGTCACCTTGAAGGCATGGGTCTCCGGGGGGTGCGAGGCGATCAGCTTCAGCTCCGTCTCAGTCTTAGGCTTCGTAAATGCCTCTCCCACCTGCACAGAGGCCCCGGATCCGTGGATCCACACCTGAGGGCTGGCTGCTTCCTGAGCCCCAAGGCCTCTCCAGGCCCAGGGAGAGGGCCGGCCTCGCCGCCTGGCCTTCAGGGCCTCCACCTCCTGTCCCCTACTTTCCCTGCTCCCTGTTCTCCCCCAAACACATACCGTCGTCTTACCGGTCTACATGTGTTGTCCGGAACACACAGGCTCCTTCTCACCTCTGCACACGCTGTTCCCTCTGCCTGCAGCGCTCTCCCCTCCTCCCCTGGACCCTCAGCCAGTTACCCCTGCCTGTCCTCCAAGGCTCAGCCCACCACCGTCTCTTCTAGGACCACCCCCCCACCCACCCTGATGTGGGCTCCCGGAGTTGCCGCTGCTCTCCCCGTCACTGCTGAGCAAGTGAGCTGTGACCACGTTGGGGAAATGAGGCTCTGTGGGAGTGGGTGTGCTGCCCGGACGTGAGGCGGGGAGAAACGTTGGTGAGTGCACAGAACAGGGTTTGGTAAGCTGCTTACAGAAGCCCCTCCCAGCAACCCTGGCTCCTCCCCTACAGAGACTTAGGAGGCGCCCCCTGCTCCTGGCCCTTACCCCAATGGCAAAGCGCTCAACACCTTGCATCTTTGTGGAGTTGATGACAGTCGTGAGGTTGAGGGGGTCCATGAATATCTCCCCATCAGTGAGCACCACCATGACCTTGGAGGCCTCTTTTCTGGAGCCGTGGCTTGGTGAGAAGATGTTGTCTCTAAGTAGGGAGAGTAAAGGAAGTGGAGGACTTGGCCAGAGAGATGGCTGAGCTTGGGGAGATTTTGTTCACAAACCTGTTTTAGAATTGGAGAGGGTTAAGGTGCCCTCGCAGGGGAACAAGGGCCCAAAGAGGGGTGGGGACAGCAGGGCTGGGTGGGGGTGGGGCACCTGCTCCCAACAGAAAGGTGCTGGACAGCACAGGGAATAGATGTGTGTGGGAATAACAATGACATTAAGAACAGAGGCTAATATTTACAAAGCACGTATGTGCCAGGCACTCTTATAGGCACTGTATGTATTTTAACCCATTTAATCCTCACAGAATCCTCTAAGGCAGTGGTTCTCAACCTTGGCTGCACATTAGAATCACCTGGAAATCTTTTCAAAATCCTGACTCCTGGTCCTCATCCTCCGGAAATTCTGTTTCTTTGCTATGGGGTAGGGCCACAACATTAGTAACAAAGAAACAGAATTTCCGGAGGATGAGGCCCAGAAATCAGGATTTTTAAAAAATATATATTTTATTGATTTTTTACAGAGAAGAAGGGAGAGGGATAGAGAGTTAGAAACATGGATGAGAGAGAAACATCGATCAGCTGCCTCCTGCACACCCCCTACTGGGGATGTGCCTGCAACCAAGGTACATGCCCTTGACCGGAATCGAACCCGGGACCCTTGAGTCCGCAGGCCGACGCTCTAGCCACTGAGCCAAACCAGTTAGGGCCAGAAATCAGGATTTTAAAAAGATTCCCAGGTGATTCTAATGTGCAGCCAAGATTGAGAACCACTGCTGTAAGGCAAGGGCTATTATTATTCCCATTTTACACGTGAGAACCAAGCACGGAGAGGTCAGGCACCCAGGTCTCCAAGTACAGACTGGCGCTGGGATGTGGACCCAGGCAGCCGGGCCACTGAGCCCCCCACGGTCTGCTCTGTGCTCCACTCTCAAGAGGAGTCCTCAGAAGGCTCTTTGGAGGACTGTCCTGGGGTGCCATTCATCAGCCAAGGCTGGATTGAAAGACCTCACATTCTCCTCTCAACCGAGGAGGAGCTAGAACCCTGATCCTCTCCTCTTTACCGTTCTGTCCTGCCACCTCTCCAGGCATGACGCCTCAAAGCCTCTAGGCAGGGATGCCGGCCAGCACCCAGTAGGTGTTGAGGTAATTCCCGCTGCCCTCACACTCACAGGACATGCTGCATGGCAGAGGCTGTCTTGGTGACATCCTTCACTTGAGTGATGTTCTGGACTTTGCTGAGGGAGGCCATCACATCCTGGCTGTACCGAAGGTCAAACTCAGTCTGGATCACGCCTCCGTATTGCACCAGGGCAAAGCTGCACTGGAGGGAGGGGCAGAGGGAGGAGAAGGTTGGCAGAGTCGCCATGCCCAAAGCCCTTGAATGGCTCCCCCTGGATGCTGAGGAAGAATCCACTCATTCCTCCTTGTTGAAGGCAAGAGGAGGTGCTAAGGCAGAGGGAGATGTGACAGTGACGGCTCCCAGTGGATCGCAGACTTCTCCCTGAACCCATGTCCTTGTGTACGCCCTCTCCCCTTCCTAGCCACCATGTGACTTTCTTTGGCCTTTGGGATATCAGCAAATGGGATACAACCAGAGACATGAGAAGTGCTTGTGTGCATTAGGTCTTGCCCTCTTGGAATGTTGCAGCCATGGAAACGTTGGGCTGACCTGCTATCTGACCACACATGGCCAGACAAGTGAGGCCAACCAGTCCCAGTCAAGTAACCAGACGCCTGCAGCTGCAGGAGAAAATTCAGGCAAGACCAGCAGCAGAAGAACCGCCCAGCTGAGCCCAGCCCAAATAGCTGACCCATAGAACTGTGAGCAGATCAATGGTAGCTGTTTCGAGGTGGTTTGTTCATAGCGATAGATAGCAACCGACTGTGTGCGTCTAGCTCCTAGGGAAGCCCACCTCAAAGCACTTCTCATAGATCTTCCTCATCATGTTGGAGATGAAGTCTTTGGCTCTCTGGAAGTCGGGGGGATCAATGCTTCCCGAGCCATCCAGGACGATGGCGATCTCGGTGCCTGGGCCAAGACAGGGAGCAGGTCCGGAGTGGGCATGGAACTGGGGCAGGAGTGAGGGTGGCATGTCCTGCCCTATAGGACACCCACCCCATTCAAGCCCCAAGGGCTCAGTTCAGGGAAGAAGTTGGTGAAGCTCCCAACAGCGAAGCCTTGTCTCAGAGGCTGCGAGAGAGCCAGGACCTGCTCAGGCTCTGACTCTGCGAGCCACTCCCATCACTCCCACTCTCTGGGCCTCAGTTTCCCCATCGGTAAGATGGAGGGGGGCAGAGCTGGGGGTGGTCAGGCCTGTAGAATCCAGACAGTAGAATCCAGCCACTGTTCCCCATCTCCCAGACCTAGGCAGCTCTCACCCCTGAAGTTGCCAGCCTAGGCATCAGCTCTGAGAGCATCAGAGAGCAACCCAGATCTGCCTCTTCTCACCAGCTCCCTCCTCCTCCTCTTCCTCCTCTTCCTCCTCTTTGACCTTCAGAGCCCGGCGCTGCCTGGCTGTATTCTCAGTGCTGCCTTTTTTGTTCCTGTAGCAGCCTCCAGCATCCGCATGTGCCTCAGGATCCAGGAGATTTTCTTTAAAAATACACATGAAAGAGCTCAGAGTCAGACAGCCTCCTTGTTCAGCTTGGGGTAAGCCCACACTTAGCCCACGGCGGGCCTAGGCCCAACTTGCCCTCTCTGGGCCTGTGTCCTTCCGTATCTTCCATGGGCAGGTGCCCCTTCTTGGAGACTCAAGGAAGCCTCCTTAGAGCTGCCCAAGGCCAGCGAGTATCCTTACCAATGTCGTTGAAAGAGACCAGGGCCTGGTGACTGAGGTTGGAGGCCAGCAGGCTGCAGGTGCCTGTGAGTTCTGAGCTGAGGCTGTGGGGCCGCCGGGCCACCACTTGAATGCAGATCTGGGGGAGAGAGGGAGAAAGGGAGAGGGAAAGTCGGGGTCACCCCCAGCCCAGGCCCCTGAGTCACAGCTGCCCAGAACCACATGCCTCAACCAGGCAGGGGATGCGGGAACAGCTTGCTCACCCCTCACCAGGGGTAGACGTTGGTGCCAGGGTCAGAGCTGAGATCAGCCCTGGAGTTGGCGCCAGGGAGACACCTGGCCTTGGCCCTGAGAATAGCATGCCAGTCAGGACTGGCATGAACACGGGTTTGCCACAGGGGTCAGTGCCCGCCTCCTGAGGCCCTCCAGCCCCCTGCCCACGCACACTCACCAAAACACCGTGGTGGTTCCGGGCAACTGCCACGCCCCGGTGCCTCCCCTTCGGGATGGGGACATGCTCTGAAACAGTGAAGTCCAGGTAAGGTGGGAGGGACACAGGGAGGCCACCGTGGAGCCCAGGTCAGAGAGGGCACAGGGCTTGGCCAGATGGTGATGGGGACCTAGAATTAACTGAGACGGGTGTAGAAGCGGCTATAGGGTTAAGCCTCGGACTGACCTGTTGGCAAAGCCACAAACAAGTCCCAGCTTAGAGGGCACAGCCCTCTTAGCATAATTAGGCTTGACCTTATGATGCCCCCTAGATCCTATCTGGGAAGCTAATGGGCTGTGGGAAGTGCAGCAAGTGCTGCCAAAACAAGTGAAACTCACAAGAACATTGTAACTATGGTGACCACTACCTTGTTTACCTTTGGCTATAAAATAAAACCTCAGCTTGCCTTCTGGGTTTCTCTCTCTGTGGCCTCAGCCAGGCACAGGAGATCCTGCTAGACCCAGCTTATTCTCTTTGTCTTTTCTACATCTTTCACCGCTGCCCCCCCACCTCAGGCTCACCAAACCCTTGGTTGTGCTGGCCCGGCACAACTGGGGCTTTCCTCCAGGCTCCCCGTGTGGTGGGGCAGGTGGGTAGAGAAGCAGGAGTGAGTGTGTGCAAGATGCTGAGGGACTGGCTATAGGAACGATGGACCCTCCAGCCTCAAAGACCGTCTCTGGGGAACCTTACTGCCCCAGGGGCAGATGCGGTCGCTCCGTCCTCTCCCTTCCCAATGTGGGCCTAGGGACACGGTCTCATTTTGAACCACTAGATCACCTGTTACCCCCTGGACTGTGTCCCCCTCTGAGGCTGTTCAACACGGTGCCTCTCACAGAGACAAGGGTTCTGCCATACACAGCTGAGGGCCCACCAGCGAGTGTGTGCCGTGAGTCGGACTGAGTGGGATGGGCAGAGTTTGGTTAATAAATGAAGATGGTCCATTCATTTGTTCATTCATTTATTCAAACAGCATTTACTGAGCACCTAATATGTGCTGGACATTAGAGTGGCCACGGTTAGATGGGGAGGGGAGGGATGGCTGCCACTGAGGTGTGATCAGTTGGGACAGGTGAGGTTTTGGAACCAGGTCAAGTTGGGTTTGCGTCTGTGGTGCCCCCAATGCTATTTGTGTGACCTTAGTCATCCTGGTCACCAGAGGACTTCCCTGAGCTGGAGGTTCCTCTTCGGTCAAATGGTACGGTTTTGAGGGTTAAAAGTGGATGGAGAAGTACTTAGGATGGGGAGCACGCAATACATGTTAGGTAGGATTTTGCTGTTAGGATTGGGTCAGGAGAGGTGGGCGGGGATTAGGGTTGGGTTGGGATGGGATTGGGCACTGGGATAGAAAGT